GACAGACTTATCCTTGACTCCCTGTGGTCTGAGTTGTAAGGTTCTCCCATAACATTGATTGGCATTCTTGGATGGAAAGAGCAGAAGTTTTTCATATTGAACTTTGATGGCTCACAACTATCTGGCGAGCCAAAGTTCTCCTATTTGTCTTGCATTACAATGTCAGTCTTTCCAGGCGGGTAATATGACAGAAGAGCCATTTATTGTTCAAAACACTTGGACCAGTGAACTTGGGTGGGGCAAAGAAGAGAGGTGCCCTTCTCATGGTTCTGCTAACAGCCAGACAGGTACTTTTTCTTTTACAAATCTCGATTCTGTTTTTGTTGGAATAGGTTGATATAATATTTTCGGGAAAAAAAGGTAATCAAATTCATCAGAAGATATCTTTGGCGTATTTGCATGGTAAGCTAATCAAGGAATTCCTGGTTAATACTAGAAATGGAAATATTATAGTCTGTACAATATCATAATTGCATTAAGAAAGTAAACCCAATGCATTTTTTGCCAGTTAAATAATCCCCACATTTCTGTCTTGACCATCAGAGGATCACTGTTTTGTCCCCTAGTAAAGAAATATATAACATCACAGGATCCTTTTCTGTTAATAAATTTTCACGGTTCTTCAGTTCATGTGCTGTAATTTTTTTGAATGCATAACCCTGGAGGAGCTTCCTTGGTGTCAGTGATTTAACATCTCTTAGTGACTCTCCAGTTGATGAACTTGCACTTTGCAATGAACATATTGTTAGAAGTACCATGGACAAGAACCAAAATGTGAGTCGTCCTAGTGCTGACAAGTTGACCAATGTTTCTTGGGAAAGCGCACATGCAACTGCTAATTTCCCATTTGTTGGAGGAAGTCCTTTTATTGCCACATTATGGGTTGGTCTCGAGGGGTTCCATATGACAGTGAACGGAAGACATGAAACATCATTTGCATATAAGGAGGTACCTTATGAATATTTTTATTGCTAGAGATTTTAAAATAAGAAAATGGGTACTATGATAGTATGCTATTATGATAGGAATGATCACTCCCGCCCTGGATGGAATTTCTACAAATGCAGAAACTTGAACCATGGTCAGTAGGTGGAGTCAGAGTTGCTGGTGGTTTGAATCTTTTGTCTGCATTGGCTAAAGCCTTGCCTGTATCTGAAGACCAGACGTTAGTCGTTGATGAGCATCTCATAGCTCCCTCAATTTCCAAGAAAAGACTAGTGATGTTGATAGGTGTTTCCTCTACCGGAAACAATTTCGAGCGACGGATGGCAATAAGAAGGTCTTGGATGCAATACAAGGCTGTAAGGTCTGGTGAAGTAGCAGTCCGGTTTCTTATTGGCCTTGTAAGTTATGAATTGGAACCTAACAGTCAGTTTCTAGTTTCCAAAAACACTAGAACAGCTTACCAACATGTTGTGAAAAGAAATATTGTATGTAACAGTGCCAGATTAGGGCCAACTGTGTATAGATTATCCTTGATTCCTTTGGAGGTGAGTTTTGTTTAAAATGTACATGATGGGAAAATAACCATTTTAAGAGGAATATGTCATGTCCAAAGGCTTGCTATCACCTGTGACTGTTGATCTCAACTTAATCTGCTAATGGTCGACATTCTTTACTGAAAATAAAACTTTCTTGCTAACATATTACCTATTTTTGGTACCTGCAGCACAAGAACATGCAAGTTAATTTTGAGCTATGGAAAGAAGCACAAGCGTACAAGGACATCCAATTTATGCCTTTCGTTGACTACTACAGCCTGATTAGTTTGAAAACAATTGCAATTTGCATTCTTGGGGTATGTAATTCTTATGTTTAAGTATTGAAAAATAAGGGACTTCCTATGAGCTTGAATGTTTAGATTTTTTTCCTTCAAACCATCCAATGGTAACTCCTAACTGGTTCTGTAGATTCCCTTTGTAGATTTACATGTCTTTATTGTCTGGGTTCAGATCATGTGTAATAGGACTTTTAAGGCAGTAGAAATTTGTAGTAACGTACTTGAAATATATGACACATTGTGGTATCAAGTCCGTCTTTTGTTTTTGGGTGGATAGAGAAATGTAGTTTGCCTGCCGTGAGTACTGAATATTTGCTAAAGTCCCTAAACAGATATGAACTATATCCTCTGAAATTCATCCTTTTCGTTCTCACTTAAGAGGCAGGGTGCTGTATTGATTTTTGGTCGTCTTGTATGGCATGAACAAGTGCCTGGTTCCCTAGTCATTCATTGATCAACATGTTGGGAATATCCCTGCGATCTTTCTTTCTTTTTTTTTTTTTCCTTTACTCATTCGATTTGTTTGTTTATTAACATCCGTGCAGACCAAAATCCTTCCTGCAAAATATATTATGAAAACAGATGATGATGCTTTTGTTAGGATTGATGAAGTTCTCTCTAGTCTCAAGGAGAAGGCATCTAATGGGCTTGTGTATGGTCTTATATCCTTTGAATCCTCACCTAACAGGGACAAAGACAGCAAATGGTATATCAGTACCGAGGTACCAGTTAATACTTGTACAAGTTTTGTGTCAGTGTTTGGTAATATTTGCTTCCTTCTGCTTCTTAAGTTTGATTATATTCTCTTGTGAAGGAATGGCCACATGCATCATATCCACCATGGGCACATGGGCCAGGCTACATAGTCTCCCGAGACATTGCAAAATTCATTGTTCGTGGCCATCAAGAGATGGATCTCCAAGTAAGCTCTGTTTGTTTATGTCGATCAAAAGCAAAGATTACAGACTATTATCTATTTCCTGGAGTCCTTGCGAGTTTCAAGGACACATTTAGCCATCCAGGGAAGGAGAACAAATCTGCATTTTCTTGTGATATGCATAAAATTTGGCCTATTCACAGTAAAACTGGTGCATATAATATGAAAACCTAATCAACATAGTTATCTAATGAGCACATTCTCTATTCAGAACAAGATGGAAAATATGTATAGCCTGTAAAATATAAGTTTGGAAATTTTACTGCTGATTAATTGCAGTAGGAAGCCTTGCCTACGGAGCAGTTATTAAGAATAACTAGAACTGTAGGCTAATTCTTTTCTTGCTCTGTTACTTACACAGTTTTTCAAACTAGAAGATGTTGCAATGGGCATCTGGATTGAAAAATTCAAGAACAGTGGTCAAGAAGTGCATTACATGAGTGATGAGAGATTCTACAATGCTGGATGTGAATCAAACTATATTCTTGCCCATTATCAAGGTCCAAGGTTAGTCTTATGCCTCTGGGAGAAGCTGCAGAAAGAGCAAAAACCCGTCTGTTGCGAATAAGTATAAACCAGCCATGTTAACTGTAATGAAGCTGCTCGATGCACGAGTTGCTCTCTGTCGTTAAGGCCAACAGAGTTTTTTTCGTCTTCAGCAAGCAACACAGGGGTTGTTCGTGAAGACATCGGGATAGCTAATCTTTTGTATATTAGGATCCACATCATGATTCTCTACAACTACCATGATTGGGTGTAGCCTGCCTGTAGAATTATGAAATTAGAGTGAGTCTTCTTTTGAATCCACTAGAATTGAGAAATTATGAGAAATGCTAATGAGACCATGGATAATTATCCATCATGTTGCCATTTTAAAAACCATAATATTGCATTCAAAAGCTTCTCAAGCTAATGTTCTTATAAGTTTGAGAAAAGTTATAACATGAGAAAATTTACAGGTTTATGTAAACTTGTCAAATGGAGAACTCTAAAATTTATAAAAAAAAAAAATATATTTGAGAAGACTATGAATGATTTATTTAAAATTTTAAACTAATTTTTTAATCTTTCACATTTCAGAATTTACAGAGTGTTATTAAAATAAACATATCATAACCTGAACTTGGTGATGACAGGTTCTAAAAAATGAGTATATCCTAAATAACTGAAATTTGTAAGACAGCCCAGAGTAACTTGCTATTTAGGTTTTACCAGAAGGAAGGGAAGGAAGAAGGGGTAAGTGGGATAGGGGAGGGGGAAGAAGAGTTTATATGAAGTCATAAAGAAAGTCACAAAGGGTTGTGAAACTCAGAAACATTTATCAGGTTCAACCCACCATAATAGACCTAATTTTAGTCGACCATACTCGTATAAAGCTTATGTGCTCGTGTTATATTAATTCATGTTGAATCATCAAGAACTCTTAACTAATAATCTATAGGTCATGGACAAACCTAACTCCAGACAACTCTACGCATATTTATATAGATATGTAAAATGAATATATATACATACATCTAGAGGGTCAGTCAAAACTATCCAACTCAACCCACATGACCGATACGAGCTATTTCCAGTTGGCTGCACCTGCCTTTCGTGCATATGCGAAATTAGTACACATGTAACATGAATGCATATATGGTTACTGCAACTCCTACTCCATCCAACTCAACCTACAACCTGTACAGGCTTTGATCTTTTGAGGAGCTGGGAAGATTTGATAGCGTGAAATTTTGTATTGTGAACAAATAAATAAGATGGTAAATCTTACTCTTCAGTTTTTTGGGAAATCATGACTTGCTGTGCAGGTCAGTAACACATTGATATATCAACATTGATCACTGAACCAAATGATACTCGTGCGGTTGACAGATCTTGAGGTAGTACAAGGCAATTGAAGTGCATATGTACATGTATATGTACACTTAAAGAATCCACAGGTGAGAGGCAGAATTTTTATCTTATATACAAATTTAGGTATAAGGTAATTCAATTTGTATTCCAAAATTTTTGTTGCAACAAACTAGCAACACATGTCCTCTGAAATGTATCCTCCAAGAAGCTCGTGTCAATGTGCATCCCAAATTCCCAATTGATGAGTAGTTCATTGTAGGGTCTTTTTACACCTGAAAGCAAAAAGACCAGTTAGAAAAAGACACAAGTTTAGTCTGTGTGTGTGTGTGTGTATATATATAGTTTTTTTTTTGTTAACTAATTTAATAAAATTAAGAAATCAATAATTAAGTTGTGAAAGTATATACAGGCAATGTCAGTATGTGTACATATATTTATTTTATTTTATTTTTTAATTAAAAAACGTTTTAGAAGAGTAAAAAAAATTGCTCCTCAGTTTAAACAAAACCAGAGTGAATTTTCAGTTCAGACTGGACCAGACGAAAATCCAGTTTTCAGTCCACACCCTCCATTCTCGGTCGGGTCGCTTCGATTTAGTTTTGGAGTCTTACAAAGCCTTTGGAATTATACGAAGCCCTAAGCATAAATGACAACAAAGGTCAAGAGGAATCTAGAAACTTTAATACCACGTGGAATTAGACAAAAATTGAATATTTGTGTATTAAGAGCATGTATACACGGGTATACATAGTCTAGTTACAGCAGACCAAATTAAATCTCTTTGTCAGTGGAATTCCCTAACTGGTACCCATTTATTTAGGGTGATTAATTTCCTAATTGTATCAGTTTGCTCATTTCTTCATTAAGCAATTGAAGTTTCGACCAGAGAAAAATCCTCGAGGAAAAAAGCAAATTTAGTTCTCGTGCAATGATAAAAACCAAAAGCTTCTATCCCATACCTGTTGAAAATAACAGAGATGTAGGAGTCAATATCAGTATTGCTCAGCAGAATCTGCCTATGACCCAATAAGATGCTAAATTAACCTTCCAAAATCAATTGACACCGCTGCTTCCAAAAGTTGAACTTAGCGGCACCGATGCAGGCAGCTGTGGAGGAGACCATATGCAAGCCCCTTCTTTTTGAATTACTTCAGCTTGGGCAATTGGTGAATATGGTTTTGTCACTTTTTTCTTCAGCATTTCCTGAAAAGTTGTAAGAAGCTTTACATGGGACTCTCAAAGTCTTTTAGGAAAATTCCATAAGCCCTGCTTTGTGATATGCGGCTAAGGAGCATATTTGAATCACAAGGCAACAACTGAAGGGCAAACTCACTTAGGTTTAACATAATCTATTCTCTGCAAGTTGTAGAAAAACTGAACATAGAAAGAGGCAATTTCCTTGCACTTAAACTATAATCTTCAGATACTTATTTAGCAATTAGTGGTAAGGCCAAAATGTAGGCCTAACAAATAAATAATGCAGCATTTTACAAGCAATTGGAACATAATATAGATAATGTCAGAGTCTGTGCACCCTCTGGGCTACCTGAAAATAAAATATGGAATCAGAAACTAACCTTTGAAGGGTTCTGCCCGTAAGTGTTCATTGCTTGCTCAATTGAAGAGTGCACCTCAAGCGCCTGGTGGGAATCAGTGCTGCATTTTATAGTACGAACTTGTTCCTTTGCATCTCCTGGCCTAGTCTTTAGATAAAGTGTAAGACGTGAAGGTGAAGTTTTAGGATGGTCTTTCTTTCCACGAGTCAGTTCCATTGTAGCTAGGTCATCCCACAGCACATCCCACAATATAGAACATGGATCCCTTGCAGGGCTAAACTTCCTTTGAGCAATGATGTTGGTGGTTTGCTAAAAATGACAAGCATACAATTTTAACTTAACTGTTGTCTCTGGGTACTTTCAATAGAAAACCAAGGAAAAACAGGAACTGAAGTGTTTCATATCAAGCTAAAACTCACTTGCAACAAAATAACTCTTCGATGAGTGACTACAAGGATTTTTCCTTTTGGGAGCATAAAGTGATCTTCATAAGCATCTGACAAGGCAAATTTTCCACGTATTTTAAACAGATCAACCTGGCCAAGAAATGAGCCAGATTCTGCCAACTGCAATATGACCTGAAGATGAAAGAATGCAACTGAATCAAGTAATGCTCATATTTTAAGTTGATAATCAAAAAGGTAACTTAGAACATATAGAATATACATAAGCACACAGAGGCACCAGTTTATGGATGGATAAAAACTTACCATAGGCAGTCATCAAAATCAATCACTGCTTGATATGTTGGCGTGTATGCTAATAGAAGATATTTATATTCTATACGCCAAACCGGAGGATATTAAATGGTCCACACAGATGTATCATTATTTGCTTGTATGTTTTTGTTGTTTTCTGGAGGATTTATTGGTGACCTTTAGGTTGTACGATTCCCTTCATCTCTAGTATATTTCTTCTATCAAAAACTATATCTAATAATTTGATGAAACGATCTATCTTATTGAATAAACCAAAGAATTATATTAGCTAAGGTAACATCATTATAAAGGGCCAATTTACGGTCTAATACTCTGTGGTTTGGGGTGGTTTGATCATCAGTCAGACAATATAATACTATTATTTTGAGCACACACAAGGTCTGTATATTTAAAAAACAGGGCACGTGAATGACTAAGATTAGATTTTCTAAAATTTAAAAAGCTAAATCTTAAATAGATTCAAAAAAATTAAAGCTAATAATAAATTCCAGACTTCAGAAATTTTGGTAAAGTTTGTGTATAAAAAATAATACAACTTTCAGGTTTTTTGTTTTTAATTTGGAAAGTCTAATATGAGTGTTTGATGTGTCAAACTTTTCAAAATTCGCACTGCTCATGTGTTCAAATTAATAGGACCATGTTACTTGACTAAACAGTTAGACCATAAATACTGAAACTTCTAAGTAAACCACATATATTGATCTAAAATATCCCAAAGCTATACGCTAATCTAAAAAAAAGCCCATAACATGAAAATTCTTTCCATGTGAATCTCTTATAACAAGTTGATGGAGTAGCAGCTATCAAGAAGGATGAAAAGAAGAGATTTGGAAGTGGTACCTGCCCTTGTGCTTTATAATCATCATATGGGCAAAGCAAATTATCTCCACCAATTGCGCGAGGTAGTCTCCTGCGGAGGAGTTGTTCATCTGAAGTCATGGCAGATGCAATCTTCATTCTCACAGCATTGGCACCTTCTGTAGTTTTTGACAAAAGATCCAGTACTCCACTCACAGGTTGTGCAGCAGCACCAATAATTCCTTTTCCAACACCCTGAACAAAACCTTCAACACCAGAACTTTTTGCACCTTCAAGAGGTTTTGTTAATATACCTGTGACTCCTCTGAACAGGCCTTTTGCTAATGCTCCACCTCCCTCTCTGAGAACATCACCGAGGTCCTCCACACCCTTGTTCTCCTGTCAGATAATGTGTAAGGAGGTATTCAAGCATATAAATGGAAGGAAAAAAACCAGCTAGAGAAAGAGTCACATAATAGTGTTCTGTTAAAATGATACAATAAATGAAACATTTTGACCATTGTGATATGTGAAGCTGGATAAAAGTATTGATACAACTGTTACTCATTTAGGAAAGAAGATGAAGTATGCAAAATGCAATAGAGAATTGATGTTAAAGGAAAATATAACGTAAACAAAGCTAGCAACAACTAAAAGCAAATATTCTACTACTTGAAGAGAGAAAGATGGTGTACATCAGAATTCACCAGAGGAAGGAATGCTAAATCAATGAAGACAAACGTGGAGCTCATCTAAGGCCATGGAGAACTTTCAACTCATTTAAGAGAGGCAGATGAAAATTTTTCTCTTACACTGTCTATTGTCTCTGAATGTGTAATACTCAACAACCCCAAACTAGTATATACTTATGGTCTAATGACCCAAAAATACCATTACTAATTTGGGTTATGAGATCATGGTATTAAATTAGTGTGTCTATTGTCTCTGAATGTGTAATATTCAACAAAACCAAACTAGTATATACTTTTGGCCTAATTACCCAAAAGTATTATTAGTAATTTGGGTTATGGGACCATGGTATTAAATTAGCGTGTCTCCTTTCCTATGACCTACTGCAGAACAATGCTTCTCATGGTTCTCAGACCATAGAATCTGAAAGGTTAAAAGAAATTTTTTTTTATGCATTTCCTGGATATTTTTCTATCAACTTAAATTTTTTTGGATAATCAGTTACCTAATTGATTCTTCAGTTCAAATGTTTGAAGTTTTTAACCTAACTCTGTTATTATTCATTATTTATCTATGTATTATCAATCCATTTAGAGTCTGACTGTCAAACTCTCTACCTTGCTTTGAGTTCTATTCATTGGCTAATCTATAAATTCCATTTATATGTGAGGAAGAGTATGGAAAAATAAGTTGAGACATTCTCTATCAGCTTAATTTTTAAGGATAATCAATTATCCAAACTAATTATCTCATAATACGGATGGTGTTAACGACATTTGCAATAAACTTCAGGATCTTCCTTATAGTTCACAACCATGTGTAGCAATAGGTTTTTAGAGATCAATCATAATATCAAATTTGTAGGAAACCTGTCTCTGTCGACTTTGAATGAATTTTTTATCCATAGATAATGCCGCCACTCCTTTACTCATATGTCCAAGAGCACTGCTTGCATTGCCCAATATATCAACTCCTGAAAGTAGTTGAAGAGGCTGACCCAGAATATCTTTTTTGATATTCACAACAGCACTAGTAACCATACTACTTTGCCTCATGCACACATTCTCATGAAATCTTTGATTTATCCTGATCTGTTCACCACATGTAACAAGGAAACTTCAGAATCATTGAATATGATAACATCCAAATCCAAGAATAACCAAAACCAATCCAAAATACATCACTAAGTTAAAAACGTGGCTTGAGGATAGAAATTATTTTGACAGGAATCCATTTAAGTAGTAAGATTACGCTTCCACATGCTCTTCTTTCCAATTTCCATATGTTTACAAGAATATTTATTCGGAGAATTTCACGCCAAAATAATGAAAATCATCACCAAAGGAAAAAACCAATGAAGAAACACTTACTGGCATATTTTCTGTGTTACCCAGGGCAGTCATCAAGGATGACCAGAAACCAAGTACTCCTCTAGGCCTTTGACTAGGTGACATAGCCATTGACACTTTGAATCGAATTTCTGAGATATTAAGAACTCTGCATTTCCAGATACAATATATAAGCTTTCAAGTCATTAGCCATGAGGAAGATAATCACGATGTGAACAATATATATATTTTTTTGAAATAAATGATGTGAACAATATAATTGAAGAATAGTCATTGCATACCCAATTTGAATGATTGGATCAACTGAAACAGCAGTTGTTTGAGTATCATTTAGCCGACCGAGATTAACCTGCTGGATCATCTCGTGAATACGCCAAATAATAGGTTCATGAATGTTTACTAAAAAGGCAGAATTCTCAGGTCCCTGGTAAAAAAATCCCAAAATAATTGGAACAGTAACAAATACAAATATAATGAACTCAAAAAGAAAAAAACAAATAAACATTTAGGAAAGGCTTAAAATTCTGTCATGCTTACATTGAAACCAATATATGGATATACACATAGATCTAATGATCCATTTGACTGCAGAGTCATTGAAAATTTCAAGATATATTCAGTTTCTTCTCCACTTTTCTGTGGCCTGAAGAGGACCGGCATTGGAGTTAATGGTAACTGGTTATCTACTTGTATTCTGCGCATTCGTAGTTTGAACCTGCAAAAAACCGTTATAGAAAAATAAACAGTCAATGATTGCAGGTGATTACATAATTGGTAACAAATGATGGATTATGTTCCAGTGACAACAATCCTGTAACTCAAAAGGCTGATTAGTCAGTTGATGTGTATTATGAAATCTCTTCGCAATATGCCATATGGAAACCTTTCAATTGTGAGAGAAAGGAAATAACTCTTCCTACAGATGGTTAATTTCCTATCACTTGTACCATTATTGGCTCCCATTTAATCAAAAGAAGTTATTTATGAATGCATTACAAAGTATGCATGTATTTAGTAACTGTAAACTGCATGTAATATGGTCACTTTAAGTAGCAAGAGGGAGATTTATGTTAACCAAAAACAATTGAACAAAGTTATTGCTCAAACTTCACAGATCTAACATCTAATGTAACAAGGGCACAATCATAACCAATGGCATGAAATTTTTCCAAGATTTCATTTTGTGTTATTAGCTTAACTTCGGCCCTTAGATTTGTAAATGACTGTTGCATCAATAATGGCCTACCTTAAGATTATGAATTTAAACTTCATATTTTGGCAGAAAGATGAAGCAATTAATTTTAACGGATTCTAGATGCTCTGATTATGAATCGAAGAGTTAGGAATTTACATGGAAATTAAGATAAAACCCAAGATTGTCAGATAAACAGAACTTAGTGAAAACCGAAATGCACCTGCTAAGCCCAGACTCCAAGCCAGTTGAATATGCTAGAAGAAGATTCTGCACTGACAGGTACAGTATCTCCTCAGGTGTATGGTCAACAATAGAGACTCCAAGCTCAGAAACGTCAACAATGACATGAAATTCAGAATCAATGGTGGTTGCTGGTTGTTGTTGCTGGGAGTCATTTCTGGGAATGTGAGACAGAGATGATGAAAGTTTGACATTCATGATTGCGTTGGTCTCGGTTTCTGGCATCCAGTCACTGATCTTAACAATATTCATTTTCTCTTCCTTAAGGATGGTAACACGTAGAGCTGTAGCAGGTCCACCCCCAATAATGCTGGGCTGGTGGTCAAAAATCTCATCAATATTATATTTTTCTGATTTCAGTGGGTCTGTCCCATCGACAAGGAGTTCCAACAAATGTCGTCTACCAAGATCTTCCCAGTAAAATGAAGCAGCTGTGTTTGGAAGAAGGTACTGCCAGGAATCATCAGTAGTATCCACTTGCCGACAACGAATAGCTAAAAACATGGAACGATTTTCTATCCTGTCATAAAGATGTTAATTGCTAAATGAACAATGGAAAATTTTGGTGGAGCATGGAAGAGTGTGATACAAAAAAGAAATATATGTTAATGGAGCTCTAATATATCCAGAAATGGGTAAACTTTGGCTTCCAAGATAAAGTTTATATACCAACTGATGTTTCACTGCAATTAAGTTCCTTAATAAGAATAATTTATTCCATTGACTAATACTATTTCTTTGTCAAGAAGAAACTATGGCAAGAGCAGGAATCAATACATAGAAAAACATATATAAAAAAAATATTTGTATGCAATGCAATATAACCTGTAAGGACTTGAAAAAGAATTTGGACGGAAAATAACTTCATAGCTTGAGTTCTTTGTCCCACTCCGTACTTGTATCCTCAATGGTAATTGACCACCCTCATCCTCTTTTCTTAAAGAAATGCGCATCACGCCTTCACTAGAAACACTAAATGGTATGCTCCACTTATATCCATTCACTTGCAACTGAAATGATAACCCCAATCATAAAATTGAATACAATCACAATAACTTATAAAAGGGAGAAAAAGAAGAAATCTTGGAAATGATAAATTGATTATTTGCACAAACCTTCAACAGCTCAACTTTTGCAGAAGATTGCCATCCAAAATGTTTTGGAGGATCAGTAGGATGAATCCACTCCACTGACTGAGAATCACACTGCTGCAGACAGAGGCTGATCCCAGCCCTGTTAATAAATAAGGTGTGTGGCTGAAGATGAACAACCTGCATGTCAAACATTTGAATTATGATAGCTGTCACTTAGTTGAGCAAGATAACCTATCAGCAAGTATCTCCAATCAAAGGATGGATTTTATGTGCAAAATTCCCATCTTTCACCTATGTCAATCCTAATTATAAGGCAGCAATCATAATCATAACGTCAATATTTCATTTTAATAAATAATCTGATAAATCTCTTGTTGCAACAAT